AGGCCACCTCTGGGAACACCATCCTCCCAACACTTTCATGTATCCAGAAACCTGGAAGTACATAGGATCTCTGTGAGAATTTTGCCACAGAAGTTAGAGAGATGGTGTGTCTTATTTAGGGCTTTTATTGCTGTGAAGAGACACCATGACCATGGCAATACTTATAAAGGAAACATTTAATTGGGTGGCTTGCTTACAGTTTCAGAGGTTCAGTTCAGTATTATCATGATGGGGAGCATGGTGGTGTGCAGGCAGATGTGGAGCTGGAGTTGCTGAGAGTCCTACATTTTCCAGACAACAGGAAGTCAACTGGAATCACACAGGGAAGTGTGAGCAAAAGAGGCCTCAAAGCCTGCCCCCACAGTGACTTACTTCCTCCAACAAGGCCACACCAGTCTCTTTGGGGCCATTTTCTTTCAAATCAACACAGATGGTCAAGAGTATCAGCTACTCTTTCCAGAGAATTCAGCTTCAATTCCCAGTACCCACACAGCTCACAACCCTCTGTAACTCCAGTTCCAGTGGATTCAATGCCTTCTTCTGGCTTCTGTGGTATCAGGCATAGCTGAGGGATAATGCTTTTGTACACTGTAAAGATTTGTCACTCATATTGGTTTAATAAAATGCTGTTTGGCCAGTAGCCAGGCAGGAAGACTAGGAAAATTCTGGGAAGAGGAAAGGCAGTGAATAGTCATCCAGAAGCAGAGGAAGTAAGATGAGAATGCCTCACTGAGAAGATACCAAGCCACTTGGCTAAACATAGATAAGAATTATTGGATACTTTAAAATTGTAAGAACTAGTTAATAATAAGCCTGAGCTAATAGGCCAAACAGTTTATAATTAATATAAGCCTCTGTGTGTTTCTTTGGGATTGAATGGCTGCTGGACTGGGAGGGACAGGAATTTCCGCCTACAAAGTATGCAAAGAGTGCATGGACATCCATGCAGGCAAAACACCCATACATATAACATTTTTTTTTAAAAAAAGACATTAAAAGAATTTTGTTGTAGTTGGTTTTTTGAGTGTTGGGGATGAAAGTATTTTCATACATACACACATACATACATATGCATATACATATATACAGACACATACACATCTATATATACATACACACATACACATATGTGAACATATGCATATATATATATACATACACACACATATACACATTGGTTTGGTTTTTCGAGAATGGGTTTCTCTGGGTAACGAAGCCCTGGCTACTCTGGAAATCTTTGTAGATCAGGATAGCCTTGAATTCATAAAGATCT